TTGCGCGCGTGGCCGCGGCGCCGAAAAAATGTGTTTGCAATGAAACCATGTGGGGCCCAAACCATGAGGGCCCGATCAACCACCGGTCAAGAGAGCGCCACGCCAGACCACCAGGACGGCAAACCATAGGTGATCCCGAGACGAGGGTTCACAGCCCCCCCAGATGGGATGGGATCCAGGGTTCTACATTCCCCCCTGCCCAGATGGGATGGGGGGGGGAAGACGACGATGTCGACGACGACGACGACGACGACGAGGACGACGCCGAGGAAGGCAACGACAGACGACGACGAACCACGCCACACCCACAGGGGGAGGGGGGGTCACCGGCACCCGCCACCACGCCACGCCGGCAGGGTAGGATGGGGCGGGAGCGATCCCATTCGCGAGGCCCTGCTACCTTGGGTCTCGGAAAGCTCCTGGCGAAAGCAGCGGAACGTCCACCCTCCACCACGCCACGCCCAGAGGCCCTCGACCACATGGGGGGGGTGGAGCGCTCCAATTCGCCAGGCCTTCGCGAGGCTCACGGGCGTCCCCAATCCAGCGGGGGGTGAGTGGATCGATCCAGTCAGCATTGGGGCGTAGGGGTCTCGCCATCGCTCGGACGTCCATTCCTCATGCGTTTTTCGGTTTCATGCATGCTTTCTTGGCCAGATGATCCCAGATGCTCCTGGAGGGTCCTCCCTGTGGAAAAACGCACTTGTCCGAGCGATGCCGAGGGGTCCGAGCCATGGTGATTATCTGCGCCGTGCAGATCTAGCGGGGCGGGAAACCATAGCAAGGATTCCATGCAGCCGGGGACCAAGAGAACGTTAAAAGGATTTATAGGAAGCCCGGCCATAAGGGTCCAGACATCCGCTGGCAATGTGCGGCAGCCAGGGTCAGGTCCTCTGGACACAGGCCTAGGTATAAGCATAGTTGTCTCGGGATGCCCGTTCAGCTGTCTGCCGACGTGGGACCCGAAAAACAAACAGAACAATACATGCTTGAACAAACGACCGCCGAATTTATGTACAATGCTTGTACTCCTTGGGTAGCTGGACCAACACAAAGAAATCGAAAACCACGCTAGGAAACCAGGTTACCACCATAATAAGTGTGTCAAGCAACTCAGCGGGGCGGGAATCCATAACGATCGATAGGAGGCCACGCCATAGGCGGCCAAGGGGCCACTGGAAGAACTGTGGGAATCGGGGCCGGTGGGGCGGGCATTTATAGGATACCAGGCCGTACGAAGCCATGTGAGGCCAAGCAGCTGGACAATGTGCGGGTGTCAAGTTCACTGGGGTAAGAGGGAAGCCATGGATGCCAAACCATAGGAGGCCATTGGAGGCCAAGCAGCCACCAGAAGGAGTGGTGCGGTGATCAGGGCCAATGAAGCAGGAAGCCATCGGATGCTAAGCCATATGAGGCCCTAGGGGGCCACGCAACCACAAGAAATCATAAGGGGATCATACCTGGCAACTTATAGCAATGGTCGCAATCTGTTGCTTGTTTATTTGCCGGGACTGGTTTGCGTGTCAAACCTGCTCAGCTGACACCCAGCTGCCGCTACACTGGCTCCCGCGTGGGATGTACGGACGCTTACGGCTCTCCGAGCTACTCTGCCGACTCTCCGACTCCTGGGTGCTGCAAGCAATCTGCACTCCGACCCGCGAATTCATGACCTCTAATCCGCAAGTTCATGAGTGAAACGAGGGTGCTGCACCTTCGAACCCTGACTGTTCAATGATTTTGCTTCCTCCTCCTGCGTCTTCTTCTTCTCCTCTTCCTCCTCCTCCTCCTCCTTCTCCTTCCTCCTCGCTCCCTACCTCCGCCGGCCACCTTCCCTCCTTCCTACCTTCTCTCTGTACCCCCCTCTCTCACCGCCCCGCTCCCGCCCTTGCCTCCGCCCCATCCTGATACGGACGGCCCGTCCAAGAAGGGGGTGCGGTCGAAGGTGAACACGGCGGGGATCGAGGATTTGGGGAGCACGCGACGTACGACACCCGAGCAGGTATGAAGAGCGGAAAGTGTATCAGAAGGATTGCTGCTGCTGGTGGGAGGGGCCCTGGTGGGGACGGTTCCTGGACCCCATGACTTTCCCTGGGACCAACTTCTCGTCCTGTGGTGAGGTCGGGCGCGTCCCCCTACAGTGGATTTTGAGCGAAAAGTGATACAACATACAAGACATACCCCCGAAATATTCAAAAATACCCCCAAAAATCGCCCCCAGACTATTTTTTGACTCTTTTTGGATCTTCCTCCTGTGGAGGGACCGGCCCGACTTGATCCTGTGGTGTTCTTGACTGTCCCGGGGTCTGGGCAGGCCCCGGGAGCCCGAAAGCGGAGCACAAGCTCCGGGGCCCCCTTCCTCCAGGCCTTCTGTGCGCAAAGCGGGGATGCGTGCTCTAACGGATGACGATAACGATGGTGACCATCAGCAGCAGCCGCAGGAGAGCATTCCGAAAGCGTTGGTTCTGATCCATCCCAGCTCGCTGCGCCCTACTGCCTCAATGCC